TTTTTTTTTTTTTTTTTTTTTTAACTGTTGCCCGTCTACTCACGGCATCTAAAAGATAAAACTTTATTACTTTTTATCTTTTCATACTCTATTACTTACTTCTACACGTAATATAACTCTTCCACTAGATGTGGCGGGAGTGAATCATTTGTAAATATAATATATACTATTAAATAGTGAAAACTTTTGTTACTATGCACGATATACCGCTAGTAAATATTGTCTTATTTGAATTTTTTTTTCGGATTTTTTCTCATAGTTTTAAAACGCGTTTCCACACCCTTTGTTTTGTTCTCCTCTCCAATCAACGTAGGACATCACAATCCACTCATGTTCGGAGCCCAGCGTTCTTATTAGCACACTGCCTCGTGTCTACCTCCTTTAGGGAACAACGAGAAGGCTGACATATCGTCCGATGCTCAAAGTGGACAATATCATACCATTGGGGTGAGTCGTGATTTCTAACAGTAAGATGTCACATTGATGGAAGAAGAGAGCAAACCATTCCTTATAAGAGTGTGGAAATCTCTCTCTAGTATATGCGTTTTAAAATCGTGGAGCTGAATATATAACAGGCCAAAGCAGATACTCGGTATGGTTGAAATTATTGATGGGTGAGTGGGCCCCACTTGAGAGGATTACAAGCGGACATATTTTGTTACTGTTAAGGAAAGAAACCTTGCTTGTAATTGACACTTTTTTTTTTTCTTTTTGAATAAAAGAACAAATTCCAAAAATAAACTAACTATTTAATAATTCCAAACTCATTATAATAAAAATACAAAAGGAAAAGTAAAATTACTCACACGTGTAAACCAACACACGTAACTCCAATTATTCCAAGTCGTGTATAATTTCTCATAATAACAGTAAAACGCGTCGTATCATTGGTATTAATTGGCGTCACATGGAGCTCCACGTGGGGGAACCTGATTGGAAGTTTCGGTAACATTACACGATACTTGCCAATAATATTCCCCTATTTATTTGGAATAATTTTTTAAACTTTAAAAACACTTTTTCTTATTTTTTTTTATTTTAAAATGTAAATGTGTCAGCTTTTTATTGCTTACCGTGAGACACACCATGTGATTCAAACCAACCCCTTTTATGATTCCTATTATTAATTAATAATTTTAATTAGTTTTTAATGATATTTATGCATACAAATTGAATTATTTCCTTATTTATTTATTAATTATTAATATCATATATAATTTTTAATTCACCGATGTAACCGGCAATTTCCATGCATTTTAATTAGAAAATAACGTTAACATATAATTATGAAATTAAATATTCCTAAAATTTCTAACCTATAATAATGAATGAATATATGAAGACATGTTTGCATGTAAGCCTAATGTTTCAATATTAGTGCTTCTCACGCACAAAATTCTTTTATTGATAATCGTATAAAAAAAAAAAACTATTAAATCATATTCCATTTAGCTCGAGGTCCATGGGGGTAACGTTGATGCCTTCCTTTGCTCTCTTTTATGGCGGTCGATGCTATCTATTATTTTTACAAGTCGTGCCTCGGTGCTAGCAATCTCTTTATTGTCTAAAACCTTTTGTTAACGGACATGTGTTAACGTTGAGAACATCATTCATTGGGACAGTGCTATCTTGGATCAAGAATGTTACATGTTGGTTCTAGCTCTCATTCGCACGACTGTAATGTTAGGATAAACTTTTGTATATGTGCTCGAGAAGTTCTTATATATATATATATATATTTATAATTAAATTAAATTAGCTTCTATAGTTTGAGTTGATCGAATGTGGTGCATCGATTCTATTAAACCACGGAAGAAGTGAAAGAAGTGCCTTTGTGAGCAAAACCCTGTGGGGATTCTCCGTGATCGACGACATCAAGGTCGAGCTCGAGAGAAAATGCCCCAAAACCGTCTCCTGCTCCGACATTATCACCGCCACTGCCAGAGAGGCTGCCATTGTGGCCGGAGGTCCCTTCTGGGAGGTTCCATTTGGCCGTAAAGACGGTAGAATCTCCATCGCCGCCGAAGCAGAGTGGGTCCCTCAGGGCCACGAAAACGTCACCGTTTTAATCGACTACTTCAAAAATCTAGGGCTCGACGTCCTCGATTTGGTCGCCCTCTCTTGCGCCTACACCGTAGGCCGAGCCGCCTGCCATTCCTTGAAAGACAGGCTCTACAATTTCAACCCGACCCGATTTTGAAACCTCCATTTCTGAATATGCTTCGAAGGCAGTGTAAGAACAATATGAACCTCGTGTTTTTCGACGCGAAGACTCCGTGAATGTTCGATACTGTTTACTTCACGAATCTTCAGAAGAAATTAGGGCTTCTTTCGACGGATCAAGCGCTGTTTTCGGATGAGAGAACTTCGTTTATGGATTTGGTGGCGAATCAACCGGAACATCGCCATCACCAAAACATCGCGACAACCGGTGCAACGGACCTGATTCCGGAGCCGTATAATGGCGGTGACTGCGGCGGAGGCACTGGCGGCGTTTGAGGCCGAGAGGGAAATAGAGCGCGAAGTTAGTTTGACGTTTGGGTGTTGGCGGGGAGTGGAGTGGGGGATTTAGGGGTGCGGCGTTTTGGGCTGGAAGCCCATTGGGGCAACGTGTTGAGAAATGAAATGGGCCATTTTAAGAGACTCGTAATATGGTTGAGTGGGAGTTCATATGATATAATACGGTTGCCACGATTGTTCCGATTCCTCCAAAGACCATTGGCACACTTTATTTCTGTTCTAAGATCGCCCAAGAGTAGAGAAGGCTATGCCTCAATGGGGCGGTGGTTCTCCTCTGCCAAAGATAACTGACGCACAGGCAAGAAATTCTTCTTCTTCTTCTTGCCATTTATTTTAATGCACACCATTATTGCTGTTTCACAATCGAGATCACAAAAAAAGATTAGAGGAATACTGAGAATAATGTCTGCATTTTCACTCTCTTGTTCAATGCATGGTTTGTGAGTGCAATGGGGGATGCATGATTGCTTGAAGATATGTTGCCTTCTGTTTATGCGATTTTTTTTTTTTAGGAAATAGGAACTACTTCATTCATTCAATCAATCAAAAGAAATCATATTGGCCTGATGAAGAAAGGGACAAGGTGTTCCATTCCCAAAAATTAGTAAGACTACATAATAGCCCTGCAATCTAAGTTATGATGATTGCTCCTATTGGAATCTATGACTTGTACAAGAATTCTAGTTGACAACAGTAATCTGAACATGAGCGTAGCTTAACCGACAAAGTATCTACCTTCAACTAAGAGGTTAAATATTCGAATCTCTCCCCCTGCATAGTAGTCTAAAGAAGTGTACTTATCTAAAAACACTTCCGCATTTCATTAAGGGGTTCGAGGGCTCCGTAGACCTCAAGGTAGGCTCTATAGTGTACTTTGTTCGAGGAAGGATTGTTGGGAGAGGGGTCCCACATCGGCTAATAGTGTACATGTTGTTGGTACGAGGCCTTATGGGAGTACCAAAAGCAAAACCATACTACTGTGGAGATTCATGGTTCCTAACGGGAACAACAATGTCTTATGGTAAGCTTACAAACTCTAAATTTTGGTACACGAACAAAATCATTGTGTATGTTTATTGATGCATCTATCAAATCTTTTCTTTTTCCTCGTAGATAAAAAAAGACAGGATATCAAAGCTTGTTGTTATTCCTCTTTATCCCCAATTTTCAATATGCACAAGTGGTTCGAACCTTGGGCTGTTGGAGGGTATCTTCCGGTAAAGGCTAGATCCTTTATGTTCATACAATATTCTGACATCCTGGATTGGTTTAAATGACAATAGAACTTTCTTTTTGGTTCATAAGTGTTACTATTCATGCCTTGGCATCAAAATGTAACTTGAACAAATACATAACCATCACTTATGAGTTGATGATACTATTTGCATATTGACTGCGTGCAGATTACCTAGTTTAGAAATCAAAATCATATTCAGTCAATTAAATTTTTATGCTATACTTCATTTGTAGCTTTGTAAGTGAGAACATAGAAACTTTGGAAGAAATAGACGTGGAATATAAAGAACTGGCTTTAAAATCTAGGATAAGAAAATGGGGACGTGTTCCAGCGTTAGGATGTGAACCTACTTTCATAACAGATTTGGCTGATGCTGTAATTGAGAGTCTTCCATATGTCAGAGCAATGGCTGTCTCAAATCTTGAAGCTCGCCAGGTATCATATCACCATTTACAAGGGAATAAAGCATAACATATATCACTAAAAGCTCAATAGATAAATTTATGTTGATATTTGTGGAATGGAGGAATATTATTACCACAATTAAGACCTTAGTTTATATTGTTAAATGCACATACCGATCATATTTGTTAGTTTATAACTATATTTATATGTAAAGGCACAACAGTGAAAATGCACCACCCCTGCAATGCAATTAAGTATTACTATTTTTTCTCGTACGAAAAGTAAGAAACCGATCTTTCATTGAAAAAATGAGAGAATATATGTTTCTTATCCCTTGTTTATATTTGGATTGGAATTTTGTAACAGCTCAAGTCCACCGCTAGCAGCAAACAATATCTACTAGCAGTGGATTTTGGTTGTTACAAATTTTGGTAGTACGTAATATATGGTGGTATACTACGCTGTGAGCTAAATAATACAAAGTATATACCCTGGTCCTTGAATGCATGCACCCAGGAGAGTTTTCCCTGTTTGTCTATTGTATTAAATACACACAGTTGTGAAGTATTAATATTGATACAATTTCAAGTATAGCATAATCTATATGTTTGTATATCAGGTTTCTTATAACACACACACACACATACATACATATATATATACATACATATATATATATATACATACATATATATATACATACATATATATATATATACATACATATATATATATATATATATATATATATATATATTAATTACGGGGTAGCAATTTCTCCACTAAAATGCGGACAGCTAGCCGTCTGAAAATTTGAGCTCTCTGTAATTGTCCCATGCATTTGATTGAAAGAACACTGTGTTTTTCCAGACCAGTTACTGGGCCCTTTTGGTTGATAACATTGATTTTTCTTGGAAAGATAGGTTGAATGGTGGGGTATTAGAGTGCCGTTGACTAGGATTAGGACCTTGAAACTGCCATGACTGCCAACTTTTTTCTCCTCTTTTTCAAGTGTTATTTTCAAATGATTACAATGAATAGCATTCGAAAAAAACAGAGGAAAAAAGAACTCACTGTTGACATTTAAGAAGATGGGCCAGGCAATATCAAGAAGTTGTGGGATACTTGTACTAATTAGTCTTCCATAGAGATAGAATCAGACTTTTAGACTAATGAGCTTCTTTGAATTGAAATTATGGAATTAGGCTTCCACTTTGAAATAAGTGATATCATAGAATACAAAGATGAAGAATGTGAAAAGAAAGAAGAAGAAAAAGAAAAGGGAAAGGTAAAACCAGCAAGCCCCACACATTGGCCCCATGAGAGTGAGGATAACTCCCATGAAAGGTATAACCAAAATCTGAAACGAGTTAAAAAAAAAAAACAAAAAACATTGCCATAATAAGAGAAGATTCAGGACATTTGTCTTTTGTGCTGCCAGGCACGTTAAAATGATTAGATCGGATCAGCTGGTGGAGAATCTGAGCATGCTCCTTCCCCAACTCATTCCTCTTCAACCTAAGCTTTAGCCTCTTCCTTTGCTTTTACTTTCCCTTTGTTTATTTATTTTTACTCCAGATTGTCTGAAAGGTTGCATCACTTTAGACTCTCTGTATCATTATTCAATGTCTTGTTAAATGCATCCTATAATCAAATTTACTATATGATTATATCACATGCTATTTTCTTCTCATTTCATAACAAACTAGATGGGGACATAATTCATCTTTAGCTAAGATTAAGTGAATATTCAATTGAAAACCTTGAGTTCAAGAAAAAATCTGGACAGCACACATCATCACATGTTTCTGTTTATGAATGTGAAGTGTTTTGCTTTAGATTAAAGAAGAGGTGCCAATTAAAATAACATTAAAAAAAATCCACCTTTTAATCCTCACCCATTAGCAGGCAAAATTTGGTCAAATAATACACACAGACACACACTTCGAGGAAGAGTCAAAACATTTTTTTTTTCTGATGCCTCTGTGTAGATATAGTGCTTCGATTGGTGAAATGGATGAGTTTGGAATCTCTTTTTTGAACTTTGGCTGATATCATCCTTCATCAGATGGAGCATCATTTGTGGTTCACTCGACCAAAACAGAAGCCAAAGCAAGGCCGATAAAAAGGAATAAAAGGGTCTTTCGGCAAAAGAGCTAAGTGCCAACTTGGTAATCTCTCTCTCTCTGTTCTTTCTCTTTCTCTCTATCAAATAATTTGTTTTGCAGAAGTAAGTGTATGATGATGACGCTTTTGAGGTGTAAAAACTATAAAGTGATATAACTAAAGGCAGTAACTTGTAGTTGAATATACTGTTTTCTCTCTATCTTACCTGTATTTGTAGCATCACTTTTGTTCTTAAATTAATGACCTTTGCCCCTAACAACCTAAGCTCACCGCTAGCAGATATTGTCCTTTTTAGGCTTTTCTTTTCGGGCTTCTCCTCGAGGTTTTTAAAACGTATCTATTAGGGAAAGATTTCCGCATGCTTATAAAGAATGCTTCGTTCTCCTCTCCAACCGACGTGGGATCTCACAATCCACCCCCTTTGGGCCCCAACGTCCTCACTGGCACATCGCCTGGTGTTTGGTTCTAATATCATTTGTAACAATCCAAGCCGACCGCTAGCAAATATTATCCTCTTTGGGCTTTCCTTTTTGAGCTTCCCTTCAAAGTTTTTAAAATGTGTCTGCTAGGGAGAGGTTTCCACACCCTTATAAGAAATGCTTCGTTCTCCTCTCCAACCGATGTGGGATCTCACACTGCCTCTTTCTATGAGTCACTTAATCTTTCTCGTAATTAACAACATTTATCTTGTGGTGGTTGTTTTCTTGTCTTACAAAGGTTGAAAAAGAAGTGTGGTGGAGAGATTTGAACCTTACAGATGATAATTAGAATTTTGACACTCCATCATCAAAACATGTAAGTTTCGTAGAAGAATGTTGTAGTATATATGCATATAGTCCATTACCCAATTATATATCATTGAAATACTCAGAAGACAAGCCTGTCTTTTCAAGAATTCTTCATGATCATGTTACTGAACAAAATCAGAACACAAAATAATTTTAAATGATATCAAAAAGATATTGAAACATGTTTTCCATAGTTGATAACTATTATGAAAAAAAGAGAAGAGACCCTTTATTGCAAATGTGAGTCTCATGACATGATTAGTTCAAGATTCAAATTTTTCAAAAACCCTTGTCAAAAACAAGCCCTTTTTATTTGTTTATTTATCTTTTGGTCTCTGTGTTCTTCTGCTTGTTCATTATTGTTGTGTACTTATGTTCAAAATGACATCTCCTAAAAGTGCAATAGCATGGATCTGAAAGCACGCATAACCGTTGAAATTACTGCTGCTTCTTGTTGTTCTTGTTGTTGTTCTGCTTCTCCGCCTCCCCATGAACTGAGTGGAATTGAAAACTGTCATTTCTGGGAAGATTTGTGAGAAAGAGAGAGAAAGAGAAACCAGTCAAAGATTGTGCGCAGTAATCATTAAAGTGGGGAGTGGATCTTTTGTGGAAATGAAAATGATATTTTAAGGAGAGGAAAGTTAAAGTGGGAGGGTTGGAGATTAAATTATGGGTGAAGAAAAACCAGAGAGAAAAAGAAAAAGGCCAAAGTGAACAAAGCTATAGGACAAGGGGCATAGGAAATAGGAATAGGAATAGGAAGAAATAGGAATGGTTTTGGATTGCAAAAGAAAAGAGGGAAAAAAATGGATGGTGGGGAAAGCAAAAGCAGCCATTGTTAGAGTTTGACAGGTAGATTGTTGGGTTCCCACTGTACAACCAAAAAAGTTGGTCTTTCATACTGCTACCCGCTCCCTCTCTTGTGGGCTAATTAATTCTAGCGTTATAGATCTTTTTTTAAGTATTATCAAAAGAAGGAAAAGTTTTCGTATCTTTCCTATAAACATTTCAAAACTATCCTTAGAATAGAAATTTGTTGAAATATTAGACAATTAGACAAGAACAGCGTAGTAGTGAATATTTGAAGATAGGATGTTCTTCAAATTATAAACATAAGACGTATGATACTCCCTCTAGTGTTTAAAGTGTGAGATCTCACATTGGTTGGAGAGGAGAACGAAACATTTTTTATAAAAGAACAGGCTAAAGCGTATAATACTTGTTCCTGGTGGGTTTAGGCTATTAAAAATGGTATTAAAGTCAGATATCGAGTAGTGTGCCAGTGAAGATACTAGACCCCAAGGGGAGTAGATTGTGAGATCCCACGTCGGATGAAAAGAGGAACGAAACATTCCTTATAATAGCATGAAAACCTTTTCCTAGCAAACACATTTTAAAACCGTGAGGCTAATGGCCATACGTAACGGTAACGGTGAATATTCCATTACAAGGAGTTCGTTGTTTTTTTGGTCCCAAGTTGAGGCTGTCAATGCGTTTCTCTATATATTATTTTTGTTAGTTTGTGAGCAGACAAAAGCTTTCTGCAGACGAAGCTTCTTAATCATATATCCTCTCCCTCTGTCTCTCTCTAACTATATAATATAAATTTTATTAAATATAATATACATACATCTAACTATATAATATAAAATTTAAAATTTATTATAATGTATAATACGCATGCATGCCTCGTTTTCACACTATGCACCGTCCTATTTTACTCCTAGAATCTCCCTTTAAAGCCGTAAAGACCCCCTCCCCCTCTCTCTCTCATGCATATTTACCCATATACCCTTCCATGGCTAGATTAAATCACTTTTTTAGTTACTCATGACTGGTTCATTAGCATGACCTATTTCTACGGTTTGAATTAGGATTTGAAACCAAACTTCTCACAGGACAATTCTTCTAAGATCCAACTTTTTATTTACTTGTTGAATTTGATCGTATTCCGTTGTCACGTAGAATTAGAAGCCCTGATAGGATAGAAGGTTAAGTTGGGGTAAAATTATGGGTTTAAATGAAAAGAGAAGCTAAGAGAATCACATGAGAAAAGGGTTTCACTTAGGTGATGAAATCATCCAAAGAACAAAGACATATTCATGTCTTCCCATATAATCCCTTCAGCTGTCAGATTTTATGAACAAAAAGAAAGAAAAAGCAATCTCCACTCTGTAATATAATCTCACTTTTCAGCTCAATTCTTTTTTTCCCCCACAAACTCCCTCTTTATATACTTCTATCTCCAACAATTCGGTCCCCTTCATCTCTTCTTCTCTCTCTAGAAACAGCAAAACCTCATATCTTCAAACCTCTATTTCAATGGCTCCCATGACCCTCCCTCCAGGCTTTCGCTTCCACCCTACAGATGAAGAGCTTGTTGCTTACTATTTGGATAGAAAGATCAATGGCCGCTCCATCGAGCTCGAGATCATCCCCGAGATCGATCTTTATAAGTGCGAACCTTGGGAATTACCTGGTAATGTTTCGTTGTTTCCTTCGTTTTTGTCTTTGTTGTGTTGTTCGTGTTTTCTTAATGATTTTACTTTTTCAGATAAGTCGCTTTTGCCGAGCATAGATATGGAGTGGTACTTCTATAGCCCTCGGGATCGGAAGTACCCGAATGGGTCGAGAACGAATCGGGCGACGAGAGGCGGATATTGGAAGGCTACTGGAAAAGATCGAGTGGTTCAGTCGCAGAAACGGGTGGTTGGAATGAAGAAGACTTTGGTGTATTATAAAGGAAGAGCTCCTCATGGAATCAGAACCAATTGGGTTATGCACGAGTATCGTCTTCTTCATTCTCAACACGCCACTGCGGCGTTGTGTTCTTCGACAAAGGTCTTTTTCTTTTCCTTCTTCTTCGTTTCGGGGTTTGGATTATTAAAAGTGAAGATGATGAACATGAACCCTAAGAAAAGATCGCTCAAGTGTTTTCCTTTTTGGTTTTTTTTTTCCCTTCTTGAACTAAACCAAAGAGAAAAAGATCAAATATCAATAAGGGTTTATGAATAATTTCTCGAAAAAAAAATGAATACGCTTAAATTAGGGTAAAAGTTCAATTTATAAACACTAGTTAGTTTTAACGAAATAATCAATATTGTTCGCTTATTTTTTGACATTGATATAGGACTCTTATGCATTGTGTCGTGTATTCAAGAAGACAACCCAAATATCGAAACCCGTAAGGGAAAAGGCAAGCGGAGTTAACGTCGAAGCACCGGTGTGGCAGATGGGAGACGAGCAAGACATGCACGTCGATGAGAATGGAGGGGCGGAAAGCTCAAGAGGAGGGATAGAAAGCAATGAAGATGGTGATAGTTTTGATCACCTTCTTCATGAGTACAACCCTAAGATCTTCAGCTCTGAAAACTCTTCCTCCGATCTCACACAAGGGAATGTCGCCGATGACTTGCCGGCTCCGGTGGCCTCCGATAACGAAGCCAATAGTGCAGCAAATAATCTGTATCCAATTCACATTGAATGCCCTTCAAATTTCATACAGGTATTTCTAAACTTTCAACCATTATAGTTCATTCAATGCTATGAAATTACCCAATTAAATTCATTTTTTTTTTTAAAAATTATTTAATTTATTCATGATTTCATGCATGAATAAACATGTAATCCTCATCAATTTCGTTCTCATTTTTTTCAATTTTTTTTAATTTTTATTATTATTATTTTTTAATTTAGAGGTATGAAAGCATTATATATATATATATTTAATTATCATAGATTTTCTAATGAACTTGGTTATTATATTATTATATTTTCAATTTTTATTTTATCTTTTAATCTATTTTAAAAGTTAAGAATGTGAAAAAAAGTAAAAAGTAAAAAGTAAAAAAAAACTACATAGATTATTAAAAATTAAGATTGAGATTAGAATCAAAATTAAAGGGAAAAATTGAAATCAAGAAGACATTTAAGACATTTTGAATGATTTAATCTTTATTATAAATAGTCTAAAGTAGTCTAATTTACTTTTTTCTTTTAATGAGTTTACTAATTTAAATTTAATTATAATTAAGATGCTAAGTATTTTTATATATGAATGGTCCACATTCACAAGCCCTTTGACTTATCTTTTTATCTTTTTTTTTTTTTTTAAAAAAAAAATCACCAAATCTTAATTTTTTTTAACCCCAAAAATGTCTCTTTTCACCATCCTCCATAACCCTTTTTTGACCAAACTAATTACTTATTAACCCTAAAAAGTCGAGAGTTGATCAACTATGTTCGTGTCAGATTTAATAAGATGTATTGGATCGTATGCGTATTTTGCAGATACCGAGCAATCTTCATTACCAACATCCTTACTACCCGCCATTGGAGCTCGAGGACTTCCCTCAGCTGAACATAATGGGGGAAACGAAGACATGGATGAAAGTCGAGTGCATGGACGAGTACGTGAAGTTCGAGAAGTTTAGAGAGTCGATGAATGGAAGTTTAGAGGAGATTTTGTCTGCATGTAGTGTTCCCATGCAAGAAGATCATAATCTCCAGCAGTACTCTTCCTTATTACAGTAACGTAAAATCCTCAATTCCAAAGCTTACGTTTACTGTACATTATAAATTTACAGTTTACACACTAAAATCTATCTCTAAAGTATAATGTAGAGAGAGAAAAAGATATGATTTTTGCATGTTGAGAGAGAGAGAGAGACAGAGAGAGAGAGAGAGCTGACAATATCATAACATGAAATTAAGATAGTTTCAGGATTCCATGTAATGGGTTTTTTTTTTTGGCATTTACATGTGTAATAGAATCATGTTTGTTTTGTTTGTTTGTCCAAATTAAGGAACCAATATTATACCTTCATTTGTTTCAAATCCTACCTTTTACCTTCTTTGTTCGTTTTTTGTGTCGTGTTCGAACAAATTTGTATTAATGAAGTTACTGATGTCTTAATCGCTAATCGTTTAGGTTAGTGAAGCTAATGTTACTTTGTTTATATTTGTGTATGTTTAATTGATGGGAAACTAAATTGAGTGTGTTCATAGGTTAAGTTGGGTCGGGTTGAAACATGTTTTAGACAACTCAACCCAACCGAACCAGCTGGTAAAGTTTTCATATAAGGGAAGTTTTCATATAAGGGAAATGAAACATTCCTTACAGGAGTGTGGAAACCTCTCCCTGCAAACGTATTTTAAAACCGTGAGGCTGACGGAGATATGTAACACACAAAAATAGACAATATCTGTCGACTATAGACTTAGACGGACTGTTACTAACAACTTGACTCAAATAGGGGGATGCTCGGCTAAGAATATTGACCCAACTTGCTTACCAAGTGAAAGGAATACCTCCTTCAATTCCTGGTCGGTCACTTTTTCGGGCCGGGATCGATAATGAGGAGTACGACAGACCCACTCACGATCTACTAAAGGGAAAGTAGCTTGATTGGTTCGAATCCAAGTCGTGAGACGGTAGTGACGGTGAGGAAAAGGTGTAGGTTGATAACCCAATCCAAATAGTTAGTTGAATTAGATAGATAAGTTCTTTCGATCACAAACGTTTAAATTGCATATCATAGTCATGTTTTTAATATACTTTTTTTTCAACTTAAGATTAATTAAGAGATCGTTAATTGGTTCCTTATTCGCGATCTACCCTTCGTGATAAAACACGATACGAGTATTTTGTTTAGAATAACTATCTCGATGATTCTAAAAACACGAAAAAATGTGATCACATAAACATGTATTCATTTTCTTGAAGTCGAAAATTCAAATTTTCGTACTTCACATTTCTCAGAGCAAAATCGACACAAAGTCGAGAAGAAGAGTTACATTCAAACATAATAATGAGTATGAGCATTTGTTAAGATCTAAACCCTAATCTTATATTTAATTAGTTACATTCAAATTTAAGTCACTAATTATTACACATAAAACATCAATTAATTAACCAAATGAAGAATTTCTTCCCTGTGGCTGTGACATTGTAGGGTTACTATTGTTGGGCATACCGTTATTATTATTATTCACCCTTTCGTCGGAGTGTCCCGACGACTGCCGTGGCGACGGCCTCTCAAGCTTTACCGATGCTTCAAACTTCTTTTCATTGATCGCGTCGTTGCCAACGAGCAGCGGTGACAGGGGTGGCGGTTTTGATTCATACATTTCCAGTTGTAGAGAGTCCAAGTCCGGTGGGCTGCCAATGGAAGGCGGCGGCGGTACTAAGGTGGCTGAAGGGGTTCCTAAGTGCTGGAGTCGGAGATCGTCGGGCCAGAAAATGGGGGCCTTACCAGCTCCAGAGATGAAGGGGCTAGGCTTCTTGAGGCAGTCGATGAGAGGCGGGGGAGGCGGCGGCGGCGGTTCGGAGGTAAATAGGTTGTTCATGTCTTGAAAAGGAGGGAAGGTGTGAGGTGGATGAGGTGAAATGAAGTCTTTGATGGCGGTGTCTGGAACAAGGTTGGTACTGGTTGTTCCCACATTGTTGGAAGTGGTTTTGAAAGGTCCGGCGGCGGTGCTGGCGACGGCCATGTTTTCGCCGGCTAGGGTTTGGCAAGCTTTCTCCAATATGCTTTGCATGTACTTGCCTTGAGCTTCAATTCTCAATTGAAGGTGTCTTTGTACCTTCAAAAATTAATTAAATTCCTTTTTCCACGTCAATAGCTCACATATTTGCCTCATGAATCGAAATAAAATTGTAATCTCAAACCGAGCTTAGTTCAATGGATGAGACACTAATTACACCCTTCAAAAGATCGATGATCTAATACCTTTCCCACCTCACTACAATTGTACTGTAACAGCCTAAGCCCACTATTAGCGTCCTTAGTGGGGTTTCCCTTTAAGGGCTTCCCCACAAGATTTTTAAAACACGTCTATTATGGAGAGCGTCTAGCCCTACTCCGACCAGTGCATCGCACTGTCCAGTGACCAACTCTGATACCATTTATAACCATCCAAACTCACTACTAAATAGATATTGTCCTCTCTACGCTTTCCTTTTTGAGCTTCCTTTCAAGGTTTTAAAATGCGTCTACTATGGAGAGTGTCTCGCACTACTCCAACCAGTGTCTCGCACTGTTCGATGACTGATTCTGACACCATTTGTAACAGCTCAAACTCACCGCTAGCAGATATTGTCTTCTTTGAACTTTTCCTTCTAGATTTTCCCTCAAGGTTTTAAAACGCGTCTACTATGGACAGGGTCTAGCCGTACTCCGACCAGTACCTTGCATCATTTGGTAACTGACTCTATACCATTTCTAACACCCCACAGCCTTGCACCGTCCGTTACGTATCGGCGTCAGCCTCATGATTTTAAAAAGGGTTTACTAGGGAGAGTTTCCCACACCTTTATAAGAAATGTTTTGTTCCCCCTCCAACTGAAGTGAGACCTCATACGAACCCAACAAAAGAAAAAAAAAAACTCGATATCAAAATTCCAAATTCGCACTAACTTGTAAAGGAAAATCATTACCAAACTCTTGGGTCCAACGATAATTCAAATCAAAATTACATAATCATAATAAGAAGCATGGAGTTAAATTCATGAAGAGAAGTAATGATGGGCTAACCTCAATTTGTTCATGCAGCCGTCTCTGAACTTCCAATTGCATTCTAGCAGACAAATATGTTTTTTTTGTAAGGTTTAAGGTTAGATGTTCAGCAAAATTAGAATGATGGAGACACCATTTGTCGTACAACAAAACACACTAACAAAAACTAAAGAACCAAGAACATGTCAAAATTTAGTGTGCAACTTGTTGCTAGTTTGAATTAGTCAAGATATTCGTACGTTAATATTTAGAGAATATATTAGTTATAAAATATATCTTAGATATTCTTAACATTTTTCTTTTATGATTTGATTAGTAGTATATTTTATTCTCAAGATTTAGTTAGTTTATATTTTCAGTACTAGTGAGTAGTTTGTATCCTATTTAAATGTTGTGAATATCAATGAAGATTGAACCTTCCATTCCAATTTTATTTCTCATTCTTAACTCTCTATTGTTTCGTTAAGTAACAATATTTTCAGATATTTTTCAGATCTATTCATACTTTTGAGTGGTAGATACTGTATCAGCAAAACTTGGGGTATTAAGAATAAATAAAGTGTGGCCTTACTCGTTCATACTACGCTCCATTAAGGTCGAAGAAGATCCACTGTTTCTCTGAAGTTCCATGGCGGAAGCTGTAAGCACAAAGAATATAATTTGCTTAATATTATGTTTGAAAGTTTGAAATTAGAAGAGAATTTTGAAATTCACCTCTCATGCCATCCTTTATCGATTGATCGTTGAATTCTTTGTGGGGTTGTTTCCCGAGCCTGAACTTCTGAACTCCCGTTTAGAGAGAAGAGGATGTTAACGACCACTAAACTCAAAAGCTTAATTCGATTGAATTTATATTCAAAATAGGACGTAACCCAATAAGAAATTTTCTTATTACTTAATTCAAAAGTTTAAGCTGATGGGTTACGGTAACCTGGAGGTGGCTCTTGAGATGGTAGAGGGTGAGGCCCTTGACGCCCATGACCCTCATGATCGTCTTGGGAGTGGCCTCTGCGAAAGAATTATGGGTTAAAATATGAGGTTTAAAAGACGAGGGTAGAAGTTAGTGAGAGAAGATACGTACTATCAGGGCCTCCGAGCTGAGTGACAGCATCGACGAAGCGCTCGTGGAGCTCGACGGTCCAACGGAGACGGGGTTTGGGGTCGGTGGTGAGGACGAGACCAGAATCTCCTTGGACACACATTGGCCTATCATGAGGAGTCATAGAGGAGGGCTTCTTGGTGGTATGGAACATTCTCAATTTCTCTCTTCTCTACGCTCTCTCAGCAGCTGAGCCTCACAGATCTCTGTGTGGGAATGGGAATACTTGGGAGATTCAAGAACAAATGCGAGATGGGAAATAAGGGGAGAAAGGAATAGGGTGCCTTTTTTTTTTTTTTTTTCAATCTTTACTTTGCCAAAAGATTCTCTATTTTTTTTTTTAATTTATTAATATTTCCGTAAAAATCATCCCACCCGAACGTGTGAATACGAGTGGGGGCTCAATCTCGTCAATCAGCTCCGTTCTTAGATACGGCTACCATGCTTACCAGCTCTAACCACCACTGAATAAGCCACCACTCTATTTCCAACTCGAAATCTATGTTAGAGGGTTTGTCATGGAAATTTTTTCTTTCCTAACCCTAAATTTGTTAAACCCGAAAAGAATAATTAGGATACAACGAGACTCGAGAACGTGTGAATTCGAGTGGGAGCTCAATCTCGTCAATCAGCTCCGTCCTTAGATATGGCTACCATGCTTACGAGCTCTAACCACCACCGAATAAGCCACCACTCTATTTCCAATTTGAAATCTATGTTAGAGGGTCCGTCATGGAAAATTTTTCTTTTCTAACCCTGAATTTGTTAAACCCGAAAAGAATAAATTAGGATACGACGAGACTCGAACACTACATGAGATCATGAGAAATGGTCCTTTATACCCCTTCTTCTCTTCCATGATTCACTACTTTTGTACCTTTTTCTTTTCTTTTCCCTCGTATTAATGCATTGTTTTTGTGGGTTTTTTGGTACCACGATTCACTTTTTAGGTTAATTATTTACAATCACTGAAACCCATATCTCACCACCATTTCCCATCATCATTTTGAACCATAAAGTTCCTTCTAATTATACCTCAATTATACACAATCCCACAACCCCATTTCATATATATATACTCTATACGTTATCGGATGAAGGCTTCTGTTTTAGGTGATTCGGGAGTGGAGCTGTTTGGTTCGAGGTTGAATGATAAGATCCAATTGAATTTCGAAGACGTAGTCGAGGGTCTGTAACGAAGCCCTAAGAAGCATCGAACGGTTTCGAGGCCTTAGAAAGTGTTGGATTTGTTGTGGCCATATTGGTAGTTGTAGCAAACACTATTGTATGATGTGGGTCAGTGTGATAATCCCTACATAAGTGTTGTATGAGCTCAAATTCAAAAGGGTTTGGAAGAAATAGAGAAAGGAAGGAGGAGAAGAAGAAGAACAGATTCGTGGGGTCAAATTTGGATGGATGAGATTGAAAAGCTACAAAAACAAAAGCAAAGTGGAGAGATGAATAAGGAACAAATTCCATCCAACTTTAATTAAGCTCTCTCTTGGAATTTGGTTGCTTTGGTTTGTGAAGTTTAAATTCGGTGTCTAATTTTTTAAAAAATTAACTGATATTTGAATAAAATTAAATTTTATGTTTAATAGACTCTTAGACTTTCAATATAATTTTTAGTAAACTTGTAAATTTAAAAATCCAGGAACTTTGTAAAATGTTAAAAGTTTAAGTTTAATATCTCATTTGACACCGATTAAAGCGACCTAAAACATATTAGACACGTACAATTCATCCAAAAAAAAAAAAAAAAAAAACTGAAAGCAACACAAATACTCTACTAATTTCCAGACCAAAATTTTGTAGTTTTTTTTTTTTTTTTTTCTTTTTCTTTCTTAATGGTTTAAAATGGATTGTTAATGAAATTTGATAAGAAAAAAAAAAAAAAAGGGAAAAGGGCAATGAAATAAATTAGAACAGGGAATTGATGCTCCCTTCTTTGACAATCAAAGGAAGATTCCTTTACCAATGCTTATGTATGAACGAACACATTGAGGGGTTTATAGTGTTCTCCATACCTAATCAATTAAGCATTTTTTCCCCTTTTTTGCTTCATGATATGCAATATTCTCCACTTTTCTATTAATCTTTGTGATTATATTCAAGCCTAACTCGGTTTATACGAGCCTTTATTTGCATCCCTAATAAAATCAGTACTCGAATTTCAGTTATCACTGTCCATGTGCAATGAAAACAAGAATATTTTTCTAAAAAAAAAAAAAAAAAGAGATTCGTGGTGGGGATTTCTAAGCTACTAATAAATAATACAATGAAAGTAATGCAAATATCCAACTTAGAAAAAAATATTGAATCAAGGTTAGGCTTCACCTTTTAGGCCATTAAATTTTCAATAAACCATAAGCTTCCACTGGAGAAAAGTGGGTTGGTTTAGTGTGGAGAACATCTTTGCTTGAATTTTAAGCATCTTTTTCAGGAGAATTATTCCTGCTCTTTTAAAATGAATATATTCCTTCGAATTTCAGCCTGTGAGACCCATACCTTTTTATCCAATCATATACTCAGACTCCCCAAAATCTCTGTTCTACAATATTTTCAGGTCCTAATTGCCCACAATTCTGACTCTCAAATCTTAACTAACTAACTTTTGGCTGTTTCCACTACACCTTTATTCATCAAGCTGTTCGATACCTCCCTCCCTTAAGCGTTAAGAAACTACTGCCAGGTTCGGGGTACGGGACAAGCAAAAGAAACTCGAAAATCTATCTTCTTCGAGCGTATTGTAGAAAACTCGGCAAGAGGTCTAGTTTTGAGAATAATTTCTTTAATTATCTTAGTTAAAGTGATGCAAAGTAATAGAATGAAAACTGATAAGGAAACACTCCAAACATTAAAATATTGAACTTGCAGAACACTTTTACAAAGATTGGGGAAACAGAAACGAACTTGACTTGTTGTTGATCATGCTTATTGGGCCTTGATGATCTGGTTTTTATTTGGTCATTGGGCTTAGAAGAAGCCCAAGACCATTATTCCCGGAACAGTGACTCCAAAGTGTTGCAGCACTCGCTCACTAGTTGCCGCCCATGTTTCCCAGGCAAACATATTTCAGCTGCAAGGGTCGGTTATTGAGAAAGTGTTATAAACTCCATTTAAAGAAATTAAACTAAGTTCTTTCACATTTCGAAGACAGAAACAAGGATCAAAGTTGTTAGAAATCATCATTTTTTCCCTTAAACATTACCGGATCGTGTTTAAACGAATCTTTGGAAGGAATTTTGAAGCACTTAAACAGTCATTTTAAAGAGACAATCAAGCGAACAACCAGTGAATAAACAATGGCGGAGAAAGATGAAACTCGTAAATAATTAGCCTTCTAAACTGGCATAAAAAGGGTGAGTAATACCTCAAGATACTCGTCCAGCCCATATTTTGACCCCTCCCGACCAAGGCCCGACTGTTTAACGCCACCAAATGGAGCCACCTGCAATAAGACATCAGGGGATGTGATAAGCACTTTTGCTTTATTGGGGACTAAGGTGAAAATTGAATATCCTGCTCCAAATACAGTTCCCACGAGCCGTCCATGCTCAGTTTTGTATTTCTATTAGAAGAAACAGGCAGAATGATTTAAATGGCCCTGTTTTTTTTAACAAGCCTGCCATTTGTTCATCTTTTTAGGAAAACACAACATGATCGCAGTAAGACTAATAAGATCGCAAAAGTGAATTAATGTTTGAGCTCAACATGTGGAGTTGGATGGATTCGAACTTCTGACTGGACCGTCGAGAGTAAATCTCTAAACCCGTGAGCTATAACTACACTGCATTACATAAATTCAAAGGAGTAAGAAAAATTCCCTCCATATGGTAAACCTTGACAGTGAAAATCCCCGCCCTCCTAAAAATCCTCAAAGAGAAATTTGACAGTGAAGGTCCCCAGAACCGCCATCCAACTTCCTCAGCCAAGCATTGAGAGGTAGAGCCAAATTTCTCAGAGGGGCAAATTTTACATGCCAACTGTTCATGTATATAACCTTTCAATCCTAAAATTTTAAGGGAACCAGGAAAGAACAACAAAATTGTAAGTTTTTCATATATTTCTTCTAAGTACACATAATAAGTGGAGGACATTCTCCTCATCCTTTCCTTGTTTCACCCGTGCACGCTTCCCCTCTCTCCCAAAGCTCACAGAAGGATAAGAAGTTTAACAGTGAGATCAATTAATAGTGTCTAGGTTGTTAAGCTTTCTCTTCTCCTCAGGTGGTGAGCGATTGCATCTAACTACCACCTAACGCCCTTACTGTCACAAACAGCACAGGACACACTTAGGAAAGAGGTGGAAATCAGAGAACCCCATCCCCGATCTTTCCAAAATTCAAGGGAGAGACCATCACCAACAATAGTAAAGGACGTATCATCCATAAGGTTACTTGAAGTCAAAATAATCTTCCAACAACCTCTACCAATCCTAAAACCTAGATGGTTCAAAAGTCCACCTACACCTAGAAAGGCCATATTTACTTTGGACCACCCACTGGATACCACAATTGAGTTCAACTGAAAAGGAAACTGTGATAAGGATTTGGAGATCAAAATTGAATTCTTTGGGCAATGACTACCAAACTCCATGCCACTTTTCTCCTTGGGAACTGGAAGGAGATAGTCTTCTAGTGACCAGGCAGGCCCCACCGTCCAAATTCTTTTCAAAGATAGACAGAAAGTTATCATTCTCCAACAAATATAAAGTTTGCTAATCACTAATAAGGCCTGATTATAAAATTTAGGTTACTCCAAGCTAAGCAGATCCTCATGAGGTGATATTTGTTATGAGGAAGTAAAAGTCTATGGCATATATCAGTGGCTACTTCTTGGGCCAGTTGAGGCTTTGAATGCAAATAAACAAGAGAAGTATGAGGACAAAGCTTTGGTGCAGATTCACTTCATAATAATCTTTAATTATATCAGAGTTAAAAAAAAAAATATCACCCCCCCCCCCCCCCCCCCCCCCCCCC